ATGGGATGAGACGTTACCAGCCAGCAGCCCCTAAGAAGCGACCGCCTTCCAAGCAGTTCCAAGCTTGGGAGCTGGATCGGCATGCGGCATGAAGCTCGGACGAAGCACGGATGAGCCGGCGAACGCCAGGAGATCTGCGAGGGTGAGTAGTCTCTACTCAGTAGTAGCGGTTCACACTGGCAAATGATGCGATGCTTCAGACAGCCAGCAGACAAAGAACCTGCAGGTATGCGACCTTCAGAAGTCTTCGCTAGGTTCGACACAGCAGCCTTTGCAACGTCATTCTGAAAACTTTTGCAGGTCGTCGCGGACGTAATGGCGAACTTCAGCCCACGGCCCGACACTCGCAACATGAGGACTGGGGTAAACAGAAAGCGTGAACGTGTCTAGACAGGCAGAAAGCCCAGCCTCATACGCCGTGCAGGAATCTCTTTTTCAGCTTCCTGAGATCTGTGGCAGACGGGGGTCGGAGCAACGTGGCCGAAGCAAGGACCAGCTGCACATGGTGAGTGATCTCCTGTTCTTGCCTTGGAGCCTTTCTGAGGCATACCGGTCCACTCGGTGCAGAAGGGGGCGCCCACCATGCAACCGCCGTCTGCCAATGATCTGGAAAGCGATGCTCTGAGGCGACGACGGGGCAAAAACATTTGTACGGCTCAGATGAAGCAGCACCAGGATCATTCAAATGACTGGGAACCGTTGCCAAGATATAATGAATATACACAAGACATTGCCTACTGGTAGCCCAGCTTCGACTGCTTGCACTTGGTCCTGCTGCGCAGTTTCGTGGAGCACTTCGGCCTGGACGAAGAATGTTTCCGGAACCTTGCCAATTAATAATTCACCTTTGTGTCGCGCTTTCATTCGTGTTCCGCTGCTGTCCTAGAACAGACAGACTACTCCAGACTTCGAAGGGACAGGAACTTGTTATAAGGATAGCGCATCAGGCATGATTTTGATGTCTCGTAGCTTCAGGCAGCTGCTAACACAGCCGCCAGATATTGTCCGGAGCTCGTGAAATGTCATGGGTATGGTTTCTGGATCCAGCGCTTCACGCTTCCAATACGGTAGAAGAGGGCGGCTGAAAGGGCCAGCGTAGCTGTGACTGGCTGTGCACTGAGGCCCGCTCCGTCATGGCTGGATTTCAGCCGCGGCAAGATACGCAGAACCCGCAGGGCCTCTTCATGTCTTATTTGAGATCGGTTCTTTGGACCAAGAGATGCAGCAGGTCCTGTCGCTCCTAGCACGGTGGGAGAAAAATTGGGAGATGGCGAGGTTGCAGCAGCCTCCAAGGGCTCCAAAGGCGGAGCCAAAGGCGGCGCCAAAGGAAGCGCCAAAGGCAGCGCACTAAGCGGGAGCCCGAGAAGGACGAGTTCCAGGTAACGAGGATTTTTGCACTTGCTTGCAAGATCTCTGACAGCACCTCTTGACTGCCTCTTCCGAACTCAGATCACAATTGAGTTGGTGTTACTTAGGCTAAGGCAACTTCTGTGGCTCCAGCTGCCCAGCTCTAGCTCGAACATAATCTCCTCTTTTGGGCGTTGGTGTTGCTAGGAAGGGCCAGGCTCAACCATAAGTTGCGAAACGCTTCGTTGGCCAAGGTCCCATAGGAGCCTTCGGCTCTTGGCCCAGAAGCACTCAGCCCATCGCGGTCAGAGCTGCGCCCTACGACAGGCGAATTGAAGACCTTGAGGGCGTCTGCCTGCCTGTGTACATGTCTACAGGTAGTTCTCTAGATAAGGGGTGCTTTTTAGTGTCCTGTTTTAAGGGTGCCATTCTATTGTGGGGACCTAAAAGGGATGCTAGTTTAGAGGACTACCCATAGAATTACATTTGGACATGATCGTTGCGCATGAAGATGCCTGCGTCAGTGACTAAGCTGAGTAATTGCGCGCAGGCCTCCAGCACCTCAGGCACAAGGCGGGCAGCAAACTGCTTATCAACAGAGATGCTTCAACACACGTTCCGGACCTGGTTGCTATTTCTGGGTGCGCTTTTGTCTTCAGGGTCTAAGCTAGTCTAGTACACACCGACCTCTTCCAAACCCTGATCCTTTGGCAAAGCCCCTCAAACAGCGGCCAAGGCAGTCTTCAGAATCAATGCTCGACTCTACGGTTTCGCCGTTGTAGCTACAACGTTCCGGGGCTCGAGAGTGCACAAGAAAATCAGCCGTATGTAGTGTCGCAGAAGACGTCTATATCTAAAACCGGATGCTGCACAGACGCGCGGATCGAATGTTCATTCGGATATAGCATGATTCGCCGGTCAGCTGAGAGAGCCCCGGCAGTACAGTACCAGGCAAAGGCCCTCGCGGCGTGCCGAGGGCTTTCGTCACCTCAGTCTCAGAGGAGGAGCCCATGCTTCAGCTCGAGAGACTCGAGAGTTGAGAGTCGTTCGATTGAAGCACACTGGCCTCTTATAGACTGAGCAGATCCTTGGCGAAGGAAGTGCGTGTTTGACGGGAGAACCCACAGCTTTATACTGCTTGTGCATTTAGTTCGTCTCTGTGATGTTGTCATTGTTGGTGCTGGTTGCAGCTGGTGTTGATGTGCTTATGTGCGGCTGTTGTCATGGTGGTTAGTCTTGGTAGCATCGTGTCTGCTGTTTGCTGTTGTCACTGTCGTTCTGGTAGTAGTCGTCGTCGTTGTGGCGGCTGGTGCTGGTGGTGCTGATGCTGCTGCGTCTGCTCTTTTTTGTTTGTGTTGGTTGTTATTGTTTTTTTGGTTGTGGTCGTTGTTGCTGTTGCTGTTGCTGTTTTCTCACGCTACAATTAGCGGCCTCGTGTACAACGCCTTTTTTTGCTACTGAAAAGCTTCGTCCTGGGGCGTTGGGCGGGGTTGGGGGTGGGGATGGTTACAAGCATTTTTGAGCTATCTTGAACGGTGGGGATGGTGCAGGCACGTTTGAGCTATCTTGAACGAGTCCCTAAATTTAAATAAATCTTGCCTAGAACCCATACATTTCCTCCTGCTGAGTATTGTCCCTAGCCCCTGTGCTACTTATCTTCCCAAACTTTGAACACGAGCCATACATACACAAATAATCCTCTTGAGTATTGTCCCTGGCCCCTGTGCTCCTGCTCTCGCCAAACTTTACACAGAAGCCATACAAACACAAATAATTCTGCTGAGTATTGTCCCTAGCCCGTGCGCTACCAATGCTGTCCAAGATGGAATTCAAGCTATGGTGACTCGATACCCCCATATACTTTGATAATGGAAAGCTGTGTGTGCTTCCGGCGCAGCTTCTGTCTCAGCTACCGAACCGGCGTACGAGGACCCCAAGAGTAGCACGCAACCTTAGTCTCTCAACGAGGCGCAACCGCAAAGCTTGAACTGCATTTCGTCCTTTCTCCGAGAGTAGTGCCTTGACACATGCCTCAACGATCCCAAAACAAAAACCCAAACACACAGCGAAAATCAAGCAAGCGTATCCGTCACATGAAGACATGAAAGCATTGACAACGCTTGCAGACGTGTTACTTTCAACGACATACCACTTTCGAACCAGTTGATATCCTGAAAAACAAATCACTCCCAAAACACTTCTCTCACCGTGCGAACGCTGCCATGCGTGGGTTCAAAACCGCTTAAACGCCCACGGCCACCAACAGTGGCGTGACCTTTTTGTTCTTGTTCTTGTTGCTGTTGCTGTTG